CACTCGCTTGGAGGTTCACGCGCTTATAGGCATCACACGCCTAACCCACAATCGGGTGTTGTACAACCAACACAAGATGAGGATCACATAAGCCACGAGCAATCCACTAGAGTACCTTTTGGCTCTCCACCGAGGAAAGGTCAAGAACCCTTCATAATCACCACGATCAGAGCTGGAGACAAGCACCTTCCTCCGCCCAATGATCCTCGCTGCACCAAGCCATCTAGGTGGCGGCAACCACCAAGAGCAACAAATGAATCCAGCAGCAAAACACAATCACCAAGTGCCTCTAGATGCAATCACTCAAGCAATGCACTTGGATTCACTCCCAATCTCACAAAGATGATGAATCAATGATGGAGATGAGTGGAAGGGTTTTGGCTTAGCTCACTAGGTTGCTATGTCAATGAAAATGGCCAAGAGAGTGAACAAGAGCTGGCCATGGGGCTTAAATAGAAGCCCCCACGAAATAGAGGCGTTGGGCTCACACTGCATAGATTCCCGGGCGACCAGACGCATCAGTCAAAGTGACCAGACGCACGCCATCTAGTGTCCAGTCGCTGGATCTGTGCCACGTGTCCTCCGTGTTTGACCTTGGTCGCCCGATTCCAACGGTCGAGTCGATCGTGTGCACTAGTCAAGTTGAGATTGGACGCACCAAGAAATGACCTGACGTGCCATAGCAGTGTCAGGTCCTTGCACGCCCACACGCCACAACACCACGACTAGACAGGCCGCTCCCCATGGTCACCCAACGCCAGGTCACATCCAGAGAGGTTCTAGAGCCGAAAAATAGCGAAAGCTCACGTCAGCATACGTCACCTCTGACAGGACATAGGCAGAGTCAGGTCACTGTTGTCCTCACGCCAAAGCTCACGTCAGTGTATGTCACCTCTGACCGGACGCAGGCCCTGTGTGTTCGGTCCACTCCTCACGCCAGCATCCAGTCTCACACCGAGACCGAGCCCTTCACTGCAATAAATGACCGGACACACCCCTCCAAGTCTAGTCACTCCGGGACCAGAGTCTGGTCAGTGAAAACAACGCCTCCTCTTCTCCAACTTTGCCACCCTTGATCAAATGTGCTAACCACCAAGTGTTTCACCTTGTGCACATGTGTTAGCAAGTTTTCACAAATATTTTCAAGGGTGTTAGCACTCGCTAGAATCTAAATGCATATGCAATGAGTTAGAACATCTAGTGGCGCTTTGATAACCGCATTTTGATATGAATTTCCCCCCTTTTAATAGTACGGCTATCTATCCTAAATGTGATCACATTCGCTAAGTGTCTCGATCACCAAAACAAGGAGCTCCTATCAATTATACTTTTGCCTTGAGCTTTTTGTTTTTCTCTTTCTTCTTTTCCAAGCCCGAGCACTTGATCATCACCATGGCCATCACAACCATCATGATCTTCATCCATTTGCTTCACCACTTGGAATGTATTTAACCTATCTCATATTTACTTAGAGCACATAGGTTAGTACCTAGGGTCTCATCAATTCACCAAAACTAAACTAGAGCTTTCAGCGGAGCGCCGGACGAAGATAGAACGAGAAGATAGGTAAGTGTAACGAGTTTAGAAAAGGAATCGTGTACTTGCTTCCCCGCCTTAGCCTCCATTTTTATAGAAGGATGGGCGAGATAGGCGCTCGTTGGAGTTCCCTTCAATTGCACTGAGCGAGAGCAGGAGTTAAGGCGAGGCCACGTCTCGCATGATCTTAGTGGAGCACGTTTCTCCTAGCGGAAGTAATGGTGATGGAACAATGTTGGAAGTTGGACGGAGAAAATTGACTCAACCATGCGGCTCGGCCCCTTTAGCGCTAACCACACGATTTGGGGGAGACAAAGTGATGAACCGCTAGCCTATTTTATTCTTATCAACTGCTTTGAATTATCTTTTCTAATGCCAGAGGTGGGTAATTTACATGCAAAATTAGGGGGTTCACACGGTTTACATACACGGTTTACGCGGTTCACACGGTTTACACCGTTGGGGCCTCTAATTAGTAATCGTAATAAGATAGTAAGATAAGATTCCTTTCATTCTAAAATTTTCTCGCATTTTCATACACGATTTACGCGATTCACACGGTTCGGAGGATGACGATTGACTTCCCTGAGACGTTCAACATCCCCGCACCGCGGAACCTTAAAGAACGGAGTGATCATAAAGAACAGAGTGATCATAAATTACGCCTTGCTTTGCTCGAATCCTCCTCATCCCTAGTGCTCTGCTCTGCCGTGACATCGCTCCCTGACTCGAGGATCCATCTTTTGCTGCCGCTGCGCATGTCCTCGTTCCATGGAGAAGCTCCCGACGGATGTGGCTATTGACATTGCTAGCCGCGTTGCTGCGGCTGCAACGGATCCCATGGAAGATCTTGGCAGCCTACGGGCAACTTGTTCGCAGATGTGTAGGGTGTGCGGCGACACAGTAGTGGGACGGAGCATACCACTATGGTGGGTGTTGCTGCGTGGGATCCAACATGGGACCTATAACCAGCTCTATGACCATGAGTACCGCGCCAAGCTCATCACTAGGCTTGCTAGCGTCGGCAACTTGGAGGCCTACTTCTATGCTGGGATGCGCGCCGTCTTCGTGGAAGATCGTAGCGCGCTCATGCCGTGGCTCGACATGCTTGAGCGCTCCACCATGGCAAGCCATGATGTTGCTGCATTTGTTCTCTCCCTTGTGCTCCACAGGTCCAATAGTGGTTGAGGAAGGTCGAAGGTGATGAAGCAGGCCCGGAGGCGAATGTGATGTGGAAGAACGAGAAATGTACCCGGCGCCTCCAACAGGCCATGTTCGTGTTGCAGGACTTGGCTGGACGGCCAGCACCGGGTGAGTCTAGTCCTCTGCCTCCTCTGGCCATGCTGGCGCATCGCCAGGACGGACATTAGTGTGGAGGTGGAGGCTGCGGCGACCACACATGATGGGAAGGTTGGGAGGAGGGGGCTATGTTCTGCAGCTAGGAGTGTAGGATCCACAATGAGTGTGATAGGGTCTTCGCAAGTATGTGGTAGATTCTGGGCAGATCAATGTTGATATGTATATATCTGGATGATGGGGATTTGTATGATAAACTCTTCATTCTTCTCAATACAATGATACGCAAGTACGATTCCTTTCTAAACTTGTTACAATTACCTTCCTTCTCGTATGATGCGGTTCAGATTCCCTTGCACATGTTTCCCAACATGAAGATAACTGCAGAAATATTTCAAAGTCTCATCTTCGATGATTTTGATGACATGGGTGTTGTCTCGAAGGAAAAAATGCAGAAAATAGTAGGATTCAAGCTTAAGAACATGTGGAAGAAAAATAACATAGAGAAGGAGCAAGAACAGTCCAGACCGATAGTGGCAGAGCTTGACTGAACAAATAGTGGGGGCTAATCTATGTATTTGAGCTCTAAATATCAATGAACAATACTAAAATTACTATTTGCTTAATGAAGATTAAGGTGAGCAAGGAGGTCGTAGCCCACTTTGACCATAACTAAGCTTCGCCCTCGCAGACCGATCGGCCTGGCATGTTCAAGCCGATCAGTTACGGTGCATTTTGCACACCTGGAAGCCCCTTTGCACGGGTTTATAGCTTGTGTGCTATTGAAGCTTATTCACTAGAGAATCGAGACATGGCTGTTCTCAAAGATGGAGAAAAGAGTGAGTCTACAACAAATGATCTTGATGACATGTGGCACATGGGAAGATAACGAAGGCAATACAAAATACTTTGAAGATGAGATGTAAGGCATAGAATTTAATCTATCATCCACACTATTGGTTGAACAAGAGCATTTCAAGATATCATCATCAATACCTATAGTACCCTGAGAGTTTAATGTGTACCCTAATCTTTCTTTTAACTAGGATGTGTTTCACTGAAATTTGGCTTATCTGCTGCTTATGCTGATTTGTTGTGAGAGAAAAACACTGTTCATTCACTAAAAGGTACCACTGAAAACAGGGCGTAGACTAATTATGTCACAAGTTGAGAATCTTATGATGTGTTGTTGGTTTGTTGGCAATTGTTTCTATTCCCAACGTCACCCTGGAGGTAGTATGTCGTTTGGCGGCTTCCTTAGCAACGTGGAGGTAGGCAAGCCTTAGTGACGAGCAGAACCACAGGATAAACACCTTTTCTCTTGTATTCTTGCTATTTGTGTTGTGCTCTACTTGTTTGTGGGTAATTCCAAGGTTTGCTTCCAATTTACTTGTGCATAAGCTTGTGACCTCCTTCAAGTGGTGAAATATGTTCAACGCTGCTCCAGAAGCATTAGTAATTTACTCAACCTAAGTTTCATTAGGTAGTTTTTGAACTGTGCCTTCGAGGCTAATACACGACACCACCGTAGTTTTGCTCGGCGCGTAAAAGTGCAGTAGCGCCGCACCTGTTACTGACCGCCGCGATCGAGTTTTGTTTTAATAGGCCTAGTCACCCGCTTGCTAGATCCTTTTCAATAGTAAATCTAAAAATATCAAAATTGTGTTATGAACCACATATATATATATATATATATATATATATATATATTTTGAATTGGTGATCAAAGATATAAATATTCAATTTAGGACAAAGCTAATACAGATATGATATAGATATATCAAAACCGAGGAAATGGGCTAATATCGGGGGCCATGAGCCTTAGACTTAGCTCGCTTTATTATCGCCGAGACGCCCACTGAAAGGGAGAAGATGGCGCATCCAGCATCCTGAATCCTTTTTTTTAATAATAAATTCAGCATCCTGATTCGTGAGACGTGAGTCGTGACGTGTTGGCTTTCCTCAATTCCTTCTTGGTCGCTCCTCCGCCCCTGCCCCTCGCTACAATCGATTTCGTCGTCGCCGCTACCTCGGTTGCTCCCCTCCTGCTTATTCAGAGAGGAGCTGGGGGAAAGTGCTCCCTCCATCGTCGCCCAGCAGATCGATCGAAGCCAGCAAACAAATCAGAAAGAGCAAGAGAGGCGCCCGAGTCCCTAGGGCGGAAAGCCATGGACGGCGCCGCCAACTGGCGCCCCACGCAGGGCGCCGACCCTGCCGCCGTCGCTGCCGCCGGCGGCGTCGACCCTAACGCGGCTGTCCCCGCCGGAAGCGACTGGCGCACCCAGCTTCAGCCCGAGGCGCGCCACAGGATCGTCAATAAGATGTACGTCCTCTCCATCTTCCTTCTCTCCCTCCTCCCCCTAATGGGAATTGTCAAGCAACTGCAATCTTTTCCTTCCGCCGTGGCGGATCCATGTCGCTTCTTTTACGATTCGATCACCTGCTTCCCTCTTTACTTTATTTAGATTAGATAGACAGTATCATGCTTGCTGGGTAGGGTTTGTTGATGCATCCATGCACTTAGACCTGCTGAACCATCCGTGCACTTGGACCTAACATTTCACACTTGGACCCAACAATTCGTCTACCTTTCTCTTGTTTGTTTACCCACAAATCACCTACTCGTTTGTTCGTGACATATGATCCATACAGTCGTGTTTGTTCGTGACATATGGATCCATACAGTCGCATTAATGCCATCCAATCCAATACATCATACTTTCTAAGATTATATATCTTTATTTAAACCAAATTTAATCATCAAAATTATCAGTAGAAACTACTTGACTACCTGTTTGCTTGCTATAAGATTCAAAAAAAATCTTTATAAAGCTGCTGACTACCTGTTTGCTTGCTATAAGATTTAAAAAACAATCTTTATAAACTTGCACAATAAACACACATAGAAACATATGCAACTGCATATCGCAACATTTGAGTTTTTTAGAGTATGGGTGTAGAATGCGACAACTCATAATGTGATTGTTTTTTTTTCCAAACACTTCTCTACCCCCTAGTGGAGGGTAGGCATGGCGTAGCGGTAGGCTGCTGACTTTCTCCAATTTGTCAACCTCCTTGCAAAATAAGAAAGGGTAAAACCATATTCTTCCTAGACCCTCATCTTGTGTAGGACCTTTTAGCATTGGTTATGCGGTATGACCCGTGTCTTTTTCTGCCAACTAATTATTAAGTCATGTATATGCCTGCCAATGGAATGTGTCCATTTTACCCTTGCCACCACTTAAATTTTACCCTAGTTGCCACTTGAATGTGGCCATTTTTACCGTAGTTGTTTGTTCGGTTCAAAAATATGTATGTGCATTAGCGGTCCACAAATTCCATGCCCACTGTTTCCACTAGTGAACTATTATTTTTGTACATGTACTGGGGCTTCTGGTTTACTGGACTAATTAAATGGTAATCAAACACATATCAGTGTATCTCTCAATATATCACTTCTTGCATTATATATGTATAGAATGGAGACTCTGAAGAAGCACCTGCCAGTATCAGTACCAGAAGGACTGACTGAGCTTCACAAAATTGCTGTGCGGTTTGAAGAGAAAATCTATACTGCAGCCATCAGCCAGGTACATTTAACCTAACTCTAGTACGCTCCCGTACAGAGTCAGAATGTTTAGTCATGGGGTGGGTCAATGATATGGACATTTGATCTATGACAATCTTAAAGGCTTTTAGGTAAATTTTAGATGCTTATAGATCTTTTTATCATGGTAAAATACATGATGGGGCAATGCATGGATACTCTGCTAATCATATTTAGGAGGCTTGGTATCAAAATATCATGGGCCCATGCAACTTGCACATGTCAATTGTATTAATGCAAAAACCACAACTTAAATCCTTTTGTTTTGTATCACTCAGTCTGATTATTTGCGGAAGATTTCTCTGAAAATGCTGTCCATGGAAAGTCAGACAAAGACCCAACAGAACCCTGGAAATGCTCAAGTGATTCCAAATCAGAACCCTCCTGGTCCAGGTACCATACACAGCAAATGCAACATCACACCTTTTTTTTGTGCTATCAATGTATTTGCTTCTAAAAAAAAGAATGCAGGCAAGATATTCAGGGCATAGTTAAGTTTTCCACATTAAGAGAGTTTACTTCTCACTGGTGGAATGCGTGCTTTTTATTTTCACTTGCTTCCTAATATGTTCATATTTGCATCTTACGATTTTTTTGTCACTTTATTGTCTTAAAGGGCAAATTTGTTATTGCTAAAGTTTATTGGCTATCATAATATAGTGCCTGTTTGGATGCCGTAGTTTAGAAAAATTATGGTATGAAGTAACTGTAGTTTTATAAGATAAAAGTGTGCAAAACTGTCATTTACTGAGGTTATGAGTGGAGTGGAGTATCTAAAACTTCCAAAGACTACAATTTTAGCAAGGTCTTGAGTGGAGTATCTCAAACTTCAAAAAGACTAAAATTTTAAAAATACCATGTCTTTGAAAACTAGAAGGTTTGTTGCATCCAAAAGCCCAATAGCTTTCCAAAACCAAAGTTTTTTTTTGCAGAACCATAATAATTTTCCAATACTCAGAAAATACTTTGAATCCAGGGCCTTAGATATTTTTTTACCGTAAAGGGCCTTAGATGTTATTCTTCCGCCCCAAAACGTAGGTTGTTTTAGCTTTCTCGTAAGTCAAAATAGAAAAATGCACCAACATCTACAACATCAAAAATCCGTTTAATCCACCATGAGATATGTCTCCATAGTGCATTTTCTTTGTAATATAGATTGTATATGTTAATATATTTTTTATATAAACTTGATCAAAGTTACAGAAGTTTTAGGACAAAAGCACAAAACTAAAACACCATACATTTTGGAACGGAGGGAATGCTTATTAATTGTTGGGGTGTAAAGTGATGCACATGCATTCTAAATAATTATGCCACTGTACTTTTCTTTTCAGATGTGAATCAATTACTCAGTTCCTAATTGCTTGCAGTATACTTCCCTATTTTTTTCTTCAGAAATACAGAAGCTCACTGTCAATTTTATGTGTAATATGTTGCATTGAGTGCTTCTGCAACCTTGTTACAATTTTAATGTAAGCATTCCTTGCCTTAACATTCATATGGTATATATTTTCTAAAACAGCACCTGGCCTTCCTCCACAAGGTAGTAATCCAGCACAGTCATCAGCTATCCCGTTGATGTCTCAGCAACAGACACGGCAGCTAAATGCTTCTACATCTGTTCAAGGTTCGCTTCCTAGTCTTGGTCAGAACTTGTCGAGTGTCAGCCAGACATCGACGCTGCAGAATCTGTCTGGCATGCCACAAAATACTATGAACAATGGTTTAGCACAAGGTACTCCACAAGATATGTATGCTGCACAAAGACAAATGGCTGGTAGGCAGCAGCAGCAGCAACAACAACAACAAGCACATAATCAGTTAATCTATCAACAGCAGAAACTGTTGATGAACCAGAAATTGCAGCAGAATTCACTTATGCAACCGCACATTCAGCAGCAGCAAACTTTGTTGCAGTCAACACAGATGCAATCTTCACAGCAGCCCATGATGCAAATGTCATCTGGCCTTCAGCCTGGGCAGACTACCATTCCACAAACTCAGTCCATGGCGATGCAGTCAGCTACACAGAGTGGTATTCAACAGAATCCATTGAATTCAGTACAACAATCTGTGCAATCATTACTCCAGCAGCCTACACAATCTGTAGTGAGGCAGCAGCAACATGCACAGTCCATGCACCAGCAGCCTTCTCTGCAGCAAACTCAGCCAACACAACAACCCAACATTCCTTTGCAACAGCAGCCACAACAATTAATGGGGCAGCAGTCAAATTTACAGCAAAATCAGTTAATGAATCAGCAGAGTGGTGCTGTGGAGATGCAACAGCAACAAAGGCTACCAGTTCAGTCAAATAATGTTTTGAATATGCAGCAAACACAGCAGATGATGAACCAGCAATCTATGCCCTTGCACCAGCCACAACAATTGGCGAACCAGGGAAATATGTCAAGTCTACATCAACAGCAGCAGCAAAATCAGCAGCAGCAGCAGCAGCTTCTTGGAACCACGCCAAATGTCCGTATGCATATGTTACAGCAGCAAAAGCCAATTCAGCAACCACAGCAGCAACAGCATGCTCAGCAGACATCAATGGGTTTGATGCAACCTCAGTCTCAGCAGAACCAGCTTCAGCAACCTCAGCAACATATGATGTTGCAGTTCCAGTCTCAGCCTAATCAAGTGCAGCAACAATTGGGAATGCAACAAAGGCTCCAAACTTCAGCTGGCATGCTCTTGCAACAAAATAATATTGATCAACAAAAGCAATACGTTCAGCCACAGAGGGGCCTCCAAGAAGCACCCAGTAGTAAGTTCCTCATATAGGGTCCTTGCAGTCTTTTACTATTATTGTACCCTTAACGTTTCCCCATAGTCTTGTGCAAGCCCTTTTGTGCATTTTTTCTTGAAGCCGAGGCCTTGTTATGCTTACTAAGTTGCTATCATTGTTGTAACTAGATACGAAGAAAACTTCTGGTTCCACTTGCAGTTTTAGCCATCTTAAAGCATCTCCAGCGGAGTGAGAAAAATCTACCTCCAAAAGGAAGTTATTGGGGGGAGCCTAAATCTTTTTTATGGTGGCTTGAGGGCTACTGCTCCAGCAGAGTGAGAAAAATCCACCCCCAATATCTCCTATGCCAAAACAGACCCACTTATCAGTATTTTTTTTTATTTTAATTTTTTTATGGGGGCTTGAGGGCTACTGCTCAAGCAGAGAGAAAAATCCACCCCCAATATCACCTATGCCAAAACAGACCCACCTGTCAGTGTTTTTTTTTTCTCTCCTATTCACCCTTACGTGCGGGTATGGCCCAACCTGGATGCTTGACCTGCTGCACCCCTCTCCTCACAGCGCACCACTTTCGCTCTGCCACACCTCTCCCCTCTGTCTTCTCCCTCCGTCGGAGCTCGCTGCTCCATTCTCATAGTGCCAGAGGGTGTGGCTTGAGTTCGGTTTCTTGATGGCGGCGCAAGCAAGCGGAGGTGGACGTGTGACAGTTTGTTCACCCGTCAACAATCTTAGGTATTGGGGGGATGGAGGGTTCCCTCATCTTTGAGGGGCTGTGGGATGGATTTTGAGGGGCTGAGCAAAAAAATGTTTTCATTGGGGGCTAGAATGGGTATCTTCTGGAGCGAGCCAAATCCCCCAAATGGCAGTCTTTTCTCATTGGAGATGAGAATGGTGGACTGCTGGAGATGCTCTTAAGGATAAGTAATTATTTTCTGTTTTCCACATTATTCTCTGAAGGCAATGCTTAATCTGGAAGAACAAGCTTCTAATTGTTTAGACTAAAAAAATTTGGAAATGGCAATCATGTATACATAATTCTGATGCAGTTACATACTACAGTGTACAGTGCCTCTGTGTTGTTCTTCAGTGTTCTCATTTGTGTTTGGTATTGTTGCAAATGCTACTCTGCAATATTTCTTTGTACTCTATCCTTTAATTCACTGTCTGACTCTTTCCACTAGTAAGTGCAGAAATTTTGCACTCACTATTTGCATCTCATTGTATACCGTACAAGGTTACTACTTGATTGCTTGTTCATGGTGCTGATTGAGTTTTGGCAACCTTGCTTTCTATGCAGCATCTGTGGATTCCACTGCTCAAACTGGTCATCCAGGCGCAGGTGATTTGCAAGAGGAGTTATATCAAATGGTAAAGCATGCTACAATCCCATTGGCATTATCACTTTTAGCTTACTTTCACCTTTATAGATATGATTTCCACTTTCTGTTTCCCCGAAATTCCTTTTACTGCTTTCTATTGGTCTGTTCTTTTGCCAAACAACCCTCCTTGTTTTCACTCTTTTTTTAAGATAAAGTTGGAATTGAAATCCATATAACAAAGATATTTAGCATTGTATGTAGATGTGCTATCTTCTGGCAGACCTTAGTATTTTAGGGAATCTGTGTGACTGTTTCCATAACTCCATATGTACTATGGAGCAGTTGGTGTCTAGATGTATGAAGGCTACTTCTTTCTTTAGGCAGTCGGTTTCTTTAAGTTAATTGGGTTGATCTAGAGAACACATGATTCCTTCAGTGGACTTCATAGTTTCCCTTTTTGTGCCAGATTCTATGCTTGTAATGGCAACCAATCGATCTTGTGTCATACTTGTGACTTAATGGAAAGCCTTGTTCTATTCATTTTTTTACCTTAAGTATATCAGCGTGTAACCTCGGCAACCAATTTAACGGTTTTTCATTCATTTGTGCACAGATTAAGAGTTTAAAGGACCAATACTTTGCGGAATTGAATGATTTGTACAATAAGATATCCATGAAGATACAACAATTGGACAACCACATGCCTGCTCAAAAGTCAGCAGAGCAGTATGAAAAGATGAAGGTCTTTAAATTAACGTTGGAGCGCACATTGCATTTCCTGCAAGTTAACAAGAGCAGCATTCAGCCAGCTTTTAGGGAAAAAATCCCTGTTTACGAGAGGCAAATTCTCAGTATCCTAAGTTCACAAAGAAGGAAGCCTGTGCAGGCACCTGGACAGCAAACATTTCAGCAATCTGGTGGGCAAGCTCCTAGCTCTAACATTTCACAGCAGCATCAGACTTCCCAAGGTTTGCAGCAGCATGATAGTCATACTAATCAGATGCCTCAAGCAAGTTTACCAAGTATGAACACAGGAGTACAGAGCTCTGGAGCACCTGGCATTCAGCATGTACCTGCGTCTCAATCAACAAACTTTGGTGTTCCAACAACACAGCATAATGTCACAAATGCACCGCAGGCTGGCTCTAATCTGGAGAATGCTCAGGGAAACAATTTTAATCCTGTGCAGCATGGTTCTATGGGTACTGCGTTGCAACAGGGAAGCACTGGTCCTATGCAGGGTGCATTGAATGCACAGCAGCAGTCCAGTAGTAACATGATATCCAACAATGCAATGAGTACAATGCAGACTAATACCAATGCCATGCAAGCAAATGCAAATTCATTGCAGCAGCTAAAGCAGCAACATCAGGAGCATCAGATGATGCAAAGTCAGCAAATGAAGCAGCGTCAGCAGATGATGCAACAGATACAGCAAAAGCAAATGCTTCAACAGCAGCTCCCAATACAGCAACTACAGAAACAACAGCAGCAAGGGCAGATGCCGGTTCCACAGCTTCATTCTGGAAATGATGTGAATGAGCTAAAGGTTAGGCAAGGAGCTGCAATCAAATCTGGAATGTATCAACAGCTGAGCCAGCGTAACTATTATCATCAGCAGATAAAACAGGGTGGTGTCTTTCCAATTTCTTCTCCGCAAAACCTCCAAGCATCGTCCCCACAAATTTCACACCATTCTCCTCAGGTTGATCAGCACAGTCTGTTGCAATCTCAAGTGAAGACCGGGACACCATTGCATTCAGCTAACTCACCATTTGTCCCATCTCCATCCCCTCCTGTTGCCCCATCACCGATGCCAGTGGATTCAGATAAACCACTCTCCAACTTATCTTCGCTCACTAGTGCTGGGCAGGCTGGACATCAGCAAACATCCCTTGCACCTCAGACACAATCTATAGCCGTTAACACACCAGGTATATCAGCGTCACCCTTGCTTGCAGAATTCACAAGTGCTGATGGAAGTCAGGTTAACCTACCAACTCAAGTTCCAACCAAATCAGCAGCAGAAAGGCCTCTCGATCGCTTGCTTAAAGCAGTCAGTAACTTGCCACCTTCATGTTTACTTTCTTTTGGCAATTAGTTGCTTGATCAATTCTGTTTGGAACATTCTGTTGAACGTGATTAATATGGTTATAAATCTCCATAACATACTAGCATAAAAGAAAATGTGGACTAAAAGTTCAGCTATTATAGGAGTAGGTATATGACACCTTCCCCTGGCAAGCCCTCTTAGAGATACCATATTAAAGTTGGTACAATGTATTTTTTTAATCAGCTAGTTCTTGATATGATGGTCAATACAGTAGTCAGATTTCATTCTATTTCTGGCTCTTGTCTTTTTGCCTATCCGAAATTGTGTAAGCAGCATAAGACATTATCTCACTTCGTAATCCAGACGTTTCTCTGATAGCCTGTTAACCTTTTATGGTAATAATACAAAGAAGTCATTGGCATCCTTTACTAAATTAGTTTTATTTGATGGTATTCGGGTCTATATTATTATTCCACTATTTTGGTATTCTGTTTCATGTTCAAATTTTGTGTTACAATACAGTTGCGAACAACACAGCGCGAGTCCCTTAGTGCTGCAGTTAGCGATATTGGATCTGTCGTGAGTATGATTGACAGGATCGCTGGATCAGCGCCTGGTAATGGTTCTAGAGCTGCTGTGGGTGAAGATCTTGTCGCTATGACAAAGTGCCGCTTGCAAGCCAGGAACTTCATAACTCATGACGGGAGTGGTGCATCAAAGAAAATGAAGCGGGACACTAGTGCTATGCCTCTTAATGTGTCATTGGCTGGAAGCGTGAATGATAGCTTGAAGCAATCATATAGTGTTGGCACTCCAGAGCTACAATCAACTGCAACCTCACGTGTCAAGTGGCAAAGGGCTGAGGTGTGGTTCTTTAAAATTTTTGTTGATAAGCTATGTAGAGCATTAGTTTTACAAATAGTCGCTCGTGGCTTGCATATTGGGATCTAAAAGGGCAAACATTGTTTATCTCTTATCCAAACTGTTGGCTACCTTGTAGGTAAACCATGCTCTGATGGAGGAGATTCAGGAGATAAACCAGCAGCTTATAGATACAGAGCTCCATGTCTCTGAGGATGATGCTGAGTCCTTCACTACATCTGTGGGGGGCGAAGGGACAGTCATTAGATGCACATTCACAGCTGTTGCTGTTAGCCCCAGCTTGAAATCCATGTTTGCTTCAGCACAGATGGTGAGGAGCCTCAAAACACCTTTGCTGTGTTTCTTTTCTTTCTACTTTTGATTGAAGGGTCCATGCTTGTATGGTTGTCTCATTTTGTTGCATATGTTGGAATGCGTGTCAGAGTCCGATTTTGCCGTTGAGGTTGCTTGTTCCTGCTAGCTACCCAAAATGCTCCCCGGTGCTCCTGGACAAGTTTCCTGATGAACAATGGTGCGTGTAGCGGCATATTTTATTGTATATATGTTAGGTGCTTCGGCAAACAAACCTCACGGTGGTGCTCTGTGGTTGCAGCAGTAACTCAGACGACCTGTCTACGAAGGCTAAGTCAAAGTTCAGTGTATTGCTCCGGGGTCTAGCTGAGCCCATGTCACTGCGAGAAATCGCGAGAACATGGGATGCTTGCGCCCGCAAAGTGATCGCAGAGTATGCCCAGCAAGCTGGAGGAGGCAGTTTCAGCTCGAGCTATGGTTGCTGGGAAAGCTGCGTAGGCGCTTCATAAGTATATTGTATCTATTATCATTATTTATTACACTATATAAGTATTTATGTGTTGAGTAAAAGAAAAAAAAAACAGTTTGTCTGTTGTATACCTCCTTCCTTTTGGTATTGAGTCACTATTAGCTCGATAAATATGATCGTGTACAGTACAATGTATTGAGCAAACTTGGGTGCTTCAGTTCGGTTACTATTTAGTACTTTTTTTGTTACATCAAATTATAAGTCGATTTTTTGGTACATCAATTTGAATAGTAGATATAACGAATGCCTAGGTATATAGTAAAATTTATATATAAAAAAAGTCAAATTGACTTATAATTTAGAACGGATGGAGTATCATGTATGCTTACCTCTTTATTTATAGAACTAACGCAGTTACCTAGCTTTTTGTTGATAATTTTATAAGAAAAAATCTACATAACCTTTAATTATTTAGAGTGGATTACTTTACCCCTAAGCTATAAAAACGGATTTTGTACCCCTGAGTTTTTCAAAACCGGTCAAATAACCCCCTAAGTAGTTTTAGCGGTTTTAGATGGTGGTTTTGCTACGGCGACGGTAATTTTATCTTTATCTTTTTTATTTATTTTCACTTAATCTTTTAAAAATCATAATAAATCACAGAAAAATCATAAAATAAAAAATCTAATTTTGTTGGACTTTACATGAGTAGATCTACACAGTGAATATATAATATGATATTCTTTATTATAAAGTTTTTGCTGTAGTTTTAAATCTATGCTTTTCTGTAATTAAATAGAATAATTCATATCTGCAGCTTTTATGGTTCAATTATGGTGAAATTTTTATGGTGAGCTAATTATTGTATACTTGAACTATAGTAAAAATCTCATACTCATTAAATCATGTATAACTTAGTTATAGGTTTATTTTCAATGAGTATGAAATTTTTACTATAATTCAAGCATACAATAATTAGCACACCATAAAAATTTCACCATAATTGGACTATAGAAGGGGAAGCTATGAATTATTCCATTTAATTACAGAAAAGCATAGATCTAAAGCTATAACAAAAACTTTGTATTAAAGAATATCATATTATATGTTTACTATGTAGATCTACTCATATAGAGTCCAACAAAATTAGATTTTCTATTTTATGATTTTTCTATGATTTACTATGATTTTTTAAATATTCAACGAAAATAAATAAATAAAAGACAAAACCACCGTCGCTGTAGCAAAACCACCGTCCAAAACCACTTGGGGGTTATTTTACCGGTTTTGAAAAGTTCAGGAGTAGAAAATTTGGTTTTATATTTTTTTTTTTGCGATGAAATCTGGTTTTATAGTTTGAGGGTGAAGCAGTGCACACTAAATAGTTGAAGGGATTATGTAGATTTTTTCCTAATTTTATACTTATAATTTTAAATAGTTTTGTTTGTTTCTTTTATTATAATGCATGAATTTTTATATAGTTATCATCAACCAATTCATTAACTATCATTGGCCGCCTCTTCTTTTTCCCAACCCAATCCGGCCCAGCAATTTTCTACCGAGGACAAATCAATAAGCATTTCAGTTTTCTCTTAGTGGGCTCTGTTTGGTCGATAAAAGTAGTATCCAAGCTACTTTTAGCCACTCATCTGTTCCAACATTGTAATAACATCCATTGGCACTTTAAGCCTTTTCAATCAATAAAACCACCATTAACGCTAATGAGCTACTAATCTAAAGCATGCTACCTATGTCAGTCTACCTTAATATTGATCATGTCGTGGTCTCGTAAGAAAAATGATCTGTGTTGCCTGCTAGGCTCTCACGCATGCACATTAGGGAATCAATGGACCAGTTAGATGTAAGACAGTATGCTTTTTGTGACTTTTTGTTGTAAACTTGTAACATCGATTGTTGGAATATGTTTTTCTTTGCTAGGTCATTGCTACGAAAGTCATCAAATATAAGTCACAATTGTCAGAGTCAACGTGTGTTTATCTATTTTCTTTTCGTCGATATCAACAGTGATGCTAAGAATCTGTAAGGGTAAAAGGAGTGAGTTGGTGAAACGACCTTATTTTCACGAAGGAAAATCCACAGAATCGAAGTGTAATAAGACCGTTGTAGATCATATTATCCAAAATTCTAGTCGAATATCACATCCATACAACGTAATATCAGAGTACAAATAGTGCGGAATTACATAAATTATTACATCGCCGCATTGGCGGAATCAAAAGTAGCATTCATTCAGAACAGCTTGAAGACAAGATCGCCAAACTCGAGCGTAGGAACGAACCCCTCAACCGTCAAACTCCTCAGAGCTATACTCCTCAGCAGAACCTATGTGCCAAAATTTATCAGTACGATTTGTACTGGCCATTCCCACCCTATGAGCATTGCTTTGTGGAATTTGAATGCAAGTTGGATATATTCAAAAGAAACCTATAAGGCTGGGGTTTCCTATGTATTAGCATATCAAGTGTATAGTAATAGTTGGTCAAGTTTTAACACCATTCCCACACCCATTCCATCCCATTCCTGTCCAAGAGCCAGGTTTCGATCCTGGGATCGATATACCACCATCTCCACATCATCACCACATCACCACCATACCATCGCTCAGTCGACAGGCCAACTCCCTCTCGGCACTGTCTCATGGCCCGTAGCCCCTGGCTACGACTAACACTCTCTCACAGGGGAAAAAGAGAAGGACTCATCTCGCTATCTAGTTTAAGCGAAACCCAGGAAAGGTCCATAGCCGACAAGTCGGCACACCTCAATCCAATTGGGGTGCTGCACGCTGCCGGCTTCGTCACCGTCTGCGAGGCCTTCCTCGGGATGGAGCCGCACATGGATCTATTCCGATGGATCTTCACCGGGCGAGCCCTGTTGGAGGGGAAGCCACCCAGGACCACGCCGGTTGGGGGCTTCACCTTGCAGAAGAAGCTGAGGCAGTCGGGCTCCTACCCCGCGTACTCCCCCTGCGACTCCAATCGGGGGTGGCATGGGGAGTGGTTCTACATCAGGAACCCAGCAGAGGCGCTGTTCCCCTCGTTCACCGAAAGAAGGCCGGAGAGACGGGAGAGCTGGTCGTGGGGGGCCTCCAGTCGACACAACAAGCTAGAGGTCATTGAGGCGGAGCTCCAGAAGCTGGAGCAGCACAGCCTCGACGAGCTACAGGTGTTCCACACCTTCTTCTGCCGTCGAGTTGCCCCACTGGCAGAGAGGAGGCGGCCGATGTGGAACTACTCCGGCCTAACAGATCCTGACCGCGCATCGCCGGAGGAGTTGGCGAAGGATGAGGTTTGGAGCCGACTCGACCGGGTGCTGCTACTGAGGGATAAGGAGTCCCTTGAAGGAAAGCCTGGACCTCTCCACGCCGTGAAGCTATCCAATCTGGTATGCTCCCCTTTTCTTATTCTGTGACCTTTTTTTCTGCTCTCTTGTATTTTGACTTCGAGTCATCCGCTTCGTAGGGACTCGGGGGCTATAAGTCCCAACCGCATCTTCTAAGGGGGCCAGAGGGCGCAGCTCGGCATGCCGCTCTAAAAGAGGCAGTGGTTGCCAAAAAGAAGAAGAGAGCTGAGAAGGCCCGGAGGAGGCACGAGAAGGAGAAGGAGATCGCCCGACGGGTGCGGGCCGGTGAAAACCAGAGCGACATGGAGGCGGAGCTCGAGTCGGAGGAGCCCATGGAGATGGGTGGCGACGTGAGCACCTCCGAGGATGATGGATATAGGGGTGTCATCGCGACCTCAGTGGAAAGTCATGTTCCTACGGCCGTGTCCGTCGGCGGTGGGCGGGATACGGAGAGGCGCGGTGATGTTCCCGCATCAAGGAAGCATGCCGCAAGCTCGGACACCGCTGTCGAGCGAGAGGCAAAGCGGGCACAGCCACCGTGCCCTCCGGAGGCATCGTTGGCTTTGCCCCCCTGCTCTGAGCGTGGCAGGGCACGCTGGCCGGTTAGAGGAGCATGCTCGTACCCCCGCGTCTTCGGGGTCGATGCGTGCGCGTGACCCACAACGGGGAGATGCCCCGTCAGTTGCCCTGGCTGGTGCGCCACAAGCCAGCGGTCGTGGTGACTCGCGGGCCAATTAGGAACCGGCTGGGTCGACTCCTCCCTAGGTCGATGTGAGGGGGCACAGGTCGTGACCCATGAGCGGTCCTCATCTGGCGGGCTCATCACTAGTGGGTCGAGGCTTTAGATCCCTATCGCTTTCGTCTAGGTATGCATCTTTGTTCCTTTTCGATCTCACAGTTGAGTTCTTTGAGCGCGACTGACCTGTACTATTTTGACAGCGGCCAGGGACTGACAGGACTGGGCATCACCCCGCCTCCCATGCGGGAGGAGTGGAGGCCCAGCCTGCAGCGAGTCGCGACAAGCGGCGGGGAAACCAGACTGGCGGTGGTGCGACCTTCCGTTCTGGGGGTTGCGCCCTCCCGGTCGGTCGCGAGTACGGCCGTGGCGGTGATGGCGGCGATCCCCATGGCGACGGCAGAGGTTGGGTCAGAGGTGACCCTTGCGATCCCTCCCCCAACAGCCACGGCGAAAGAGAGGAGGGAGACCGGGCTCCCTGCCTCGCCCGGCGGAGGAACACACGGCTCGCCCTCCTGGTCAGAGCTGGAGGGGTCAGGCGGAGACGCGGCCAGGCTAGATGCAGAGCATCCGCCAGCAGGCCACGGAGTCAAGATAGTGGAGATCCCTTGCTCCAGCGAGGCAGGCGCCAGGGTGGAGCCGTAGGCCATCCCGCCGTCGCAGGAGCTGGTGGTGGTCCGGTCGTTGCATGATGTTGCAGTGGCTGGATCTTCTAGCGGGTCAGGGGTGACCCGCGAGCTAGTGTGGCCCTACCCTAGCGACCCGAGGAAGGCTTGGTTCATCCTTCGCGACGAGGAGGAGGTGGCGCTCTGGCACTTCCTGGAGGAGAGAGGACTATCGATGGAGTCTGACCTCGCCCAAACCAAGGCAAAGCTCAAGAAGGCCTTGGAGCAAGTTGAGCTCGTCCATCAGGCGATCTCAGTTGACCTGTCATGCGGCGCCGA